CAGTGTAGGTGTCTCATGAAGCTTTTTAAGGCTTGGCAATGCAAAGTCTCCATATTTCTGTTCCAGAGGAAACATTTGCCAGTGGAGCCACCTCCCACACCCCAGGCTTTCCTTTTGCAAACCTTCAGGGGTTAAGCACTGTAGTTTCCCCTGTTCCAAGGAGCTATTATTTGGACAAAGATCATGCATATTTTGGTCTTTTCTTATTGTTGTTTGGATGAATTGTTATGTGGCATGAAGCATGTTGTGGTTGGATCCATCCCTAAACAAACAGCTGAACTTAAAAAATACTATTTTTTTCCTGGTGCTTAAAAAATAGAAAAAAAATAGTAATCATTGGACTAAAAGAGACTATCCCAATGCCAGTCAGTCACTGTTCCCTCTGGAAATAGAAACAGATGTGAATTTCTCCATAAATAGGAAGTTTAGAAAGACAGGTAAATCTATCCACCCTTAGGAAGGTAGCCTATCTAAGAGTCTGTGTTCCAATTCTTTGCTTCCTCCTTGAGTCCTAAACCAAATCCATCTCCTCTTACTTAAAACTCTCATCTCCCCTTCTGCAGAGAGTTGTTTTGTTTTGTTTTTTTCTCAATGGGCTGTAGACTTGGTAAACTCCCAATAGCTTCTCAGACTAGTTATATTTAGTTCACACTAGTGGCTGTTCTGAAAAGTGAAATCAGAGATTCCACAAAATAATATCGAAACTTGGTAAAGAGTCAAACATGATTTTGTTGCCAGAATTGTATACTGAAAGCCCAGTCTGATGTGACAGCATGGTGCTATAGAAAGAGCACTGCATTGTGAGTTCAGAACCCATCAGTCTAGTCCTGTGTCTACTGGAAATTTCTCTGAAGGCTTCCATAAGTCACCACAACATATGAACCTCGGCTTCCCTCATGTAAAATGAAACCTTTGCTTTCAGCTCCAAGGTCATCATCATCATTATAGACCAGTTATTGATCATCTGTTATGATCAAGCCATCTGAGCATCATACTAAACAGTCAGTCATTCAACCATTATTCAGAGGAGGAAACCAAGGTTCAGAAATTCTAAGTGATATGCCCAAAGTCAAATTAATAGTAAATGGAACCTCTGCTAAGCAAAGTCAGGTCTACACCTCACTGCCTCAAAGACTGTGAGCCTTACAGGTAACAACACACCTCTCTTGGTCAGGAGAATCTTCAAGGTCTCCCCATCTCTGAAGGATAATGTTCAAATTCCTTAACAGGGCATTGCAGTCCTTCCTCAGTCTGGCTTCAGATCAGCTTTTCAATGTCTCGGCTCCAGGATCCATTGAACGCCCTGAACTGTGACCTTGCCAGACATACACACACACATGGATCAAGATGCAGTTATGCTCTTCCCTGAACATGGACAAATTCTTTTGATCCTCCAAGATGCTGCCCCCAAAGCATCTTCTCAGGAAGCCATCCCCCATTTTTCCAAGTAGTGGTGATCCCCCTGCAGGAGAGGAGTCCTGTCGGATTCATTTGTGTATCCCCAGTGCCAGCGCAGTCACCGAGCAGATACCCAGAAACTACTGGTGAAGTGCAGTGATAGTCCTCACCAGTTTTCCTCTGAGGATAAGGATCTATCTTGCTGGGGATGATAACATCCCTCCCTCCTAAAATCTCTTAAGACTGGGCACTGGGCCATTAAGACCTGTATCACTTTCCCATCTCTTAAGTCTATTATGGTAGTTGATCATACCCAGCCCTTTATTGAGGCAGTCTAAAGGGGAATCTTGTCTCCAGTTTATATATGGGGAAACTGAGGAACAGAGAGATGAACTAACATGCTAATATTACCCGGTAACCAGGGGCAGATCAGGAGGTTGAATCCAGGGTTTCTGAATTCAAGGATGAGAACTTTTAACAATAGCTTGAATGCCAATGTTTGCTGATACATCAAGGTAAACTCGTCTCATTTCCCTGAAGCGTGGCTTTCTGAGTTTTCAGATAGGGGTGACGATCTATGTCTGTCTCAGTGTCCCTTGGACATGCCTCGGGAATGCAGAGGCATGCATTTCAGCTCCATGGTGCAGGCCCACAGAAATTGAAGATTACATAATGTGAAGCAGCATCAGCTGTGTCTGTCCACTTACAGAGTCCATTGGCCTCAGGCTCTTGGAGCTGAGCTCATTGCTTCCAAAAGGAAAAGAAAGTGTCTTTCAAGTAAAAGCTGAACCATGGAAGACAGACTTGGCAATGCCCCCCAGCCACATCAAGACTCCTCACTGGATAGAGCAGATTTCTAAACCTGTCACCACATGAAAGGGACTGAATCTGAATTGAGGGGTTCCCTCAATGTCAAGAGAGGTTCCCTCGTGTCAGGAGAGGATGAGCTGGGAACCAGCCTGTCCCTGCAACCCCCTGTAAGCTAGTTGCCACTGGTGTCTCAATAACTTTCCCTTCCCCCTAACACCCAGTGTAAAATTTTTTTTTCAAAGAGCGCAACATTTAAACTAGAGTGTATGCGTCAGAGGTGCCAAATTTTAGTTACTCATTCGTTCAACAGATACTTACTGAGAGTCTAATAGGTTTTCACAGTACCCCTCCCAATGGGATGTGTTATTATCAATGCTACCTACCTACTACATGGAAGGCAGGCAGCAAGGTGATCATTTAGCTTCAAACTCTTTTCACTACAATCTGCTCCCCTCCCAGCATAAAGCATTCAAGAAGCACTAAGTAAATTGTAATGAAAACAAGAAGGCCAGTCTTGTTCTCTTGTTTTGTTGTCACTACCTTTGTTTTTCCTGGCCACACATTTGTATTCCATTCCTCACCGTGTTCCCTTCAGTGCATGAGGCAGGGGAGTAGGAATGGAGAGAGAATTCCCCAGATGAAGGTGGGCAGATGTAGCTGAAGGGCCCCTGGGACTCTAGCAAGAAAAATGAATAGCAGAGTCCAAGGATGTTATTCAAAAAAAGGGGCTCAGAGTAGCTTTGTCAGCAAGATCTTGGGGCAGAAACCAGGCATCTTTCCACTCCCCTCTCTCTTCTTCTTCTCTTTAGCTCTATCTCCTATCTCTCTTTTAACTGTCTATATCAATCTGTCTATATTAATTATCTGTCTATTTAGGTACTTATTTACCCACCTATATCTATCTCTTTCTCTCCTCCATTCCCAGTTTCCGCTGATTTCTAGGCAAACATCTATTAAGGTCTTAAACATAATCAGGAAGAAATGAGCTTTCATGAGAACTCCAACTCTAGCCCCAACTCCTGACACTCTGAGGTCTCTTTGATGGGGGAATAAATTGTCTTCTTAAAGAATAGACCTTCTACAATCTTATTTTAATCTTACCTTACTGGTCTTCATATTAGAAGAGGAGTAAGGTGTTACCAAGAGTCAGGCAACCCTATGACCGTATCTACAGGAGCCTGTGCAGTCATTATTCTGTAGATACCACACATAGAAACCCCTCTGCTAGGTGTCAAAGGCCAGGCTTCTTCTTCTAGCTCTTTGAACACCTCACCTGCTGGGGCTCTCAGGGTTCCAATAGATAAAATGGGAGAGGCGCTGGCGTTGTACATACCATCTCAGGAAATCACTGCAACCACACAAGATAAGTATTATCTCCATTCCTTTTTGGAGGAGGGAAATGAAGTTCAGAGGAGACAGGTTATTTTGTTTCAGTCTTACACAACTTATATATGGCAGAGTTAGCATTGGAAACTGGCTTTACCTGATGCCAAAACCTATGCTCTTTGCAATTCCCTGTCTTGGGTTGCTAGTGAGTGAAGTCTGCATTGATGGCTGGTCATTCTTGGATTTGGCCTGGGCTTTATTCTGTGTGAGTTGGCCACACTGACCAGGACACTGGAGCTCCAGAGAAGTGCTGAGCCTGTGTTCGTCCCTCGCTTGAACTGCCAGGCATGCTAGTGGTCACTGGAGTCCGCACTGGCTCCGACCCATCCTCAAATAATTGAATTGTAATGAATTGATTTATTCTGGCTCTTTCGATAGTATTTCACTATGTAAACTGCAGAAATAAACAAGGGATTTTGGAGCTTGGAAGGGGCTCAACATTCTGCTGCCCCTGAATTCACAAACTCCTTTTTCAGATAGTCAGCATCCTAGAAATCCCAGCCTTATTTCTGCTTGACCCAGGCGCTTTCTGTTACAGGGAAGGCTTCTTGAAGGTGTTGTAGGTGAGTGCTGACTTCACAAGCAGCAGAAATAAAGTCAGTTAGAAATAAAGTCACCCCTTAGAAGATGAAGCCCATTATTGCAGAATGGGCAAGGCTTGGTTGGCTTACTTGAAATGCCCAAGGTATCTAACAAGCCCTTAAAACCTAGAGAATTAGATAGGAAGGGCTCCTAGCATCCCAGTGGTCTAACCCCCTTCTCTATAGTAAGTATAATCGAGGCCAGAGAGGAAGAGTCCTGTCTAAAGTAACAGAGCAATTTAGTTACCAAGCTGGGACTAGAGTCATTCTGTGACATCAGGTAATGTCCCTAGAACCTGGAAAGGGAAAACCTGAGTTCGAAACCAGGATCCGGCATTAACACACTGTGTGACCTGGGGCAGATTATTAACGATGCGTGAGATCTCATTTTCCTGATCTGAAAGACTAACATGATAATTAAAATAACAGTGCCTCCCTCACCAGCTTGCTGTGGGCTCACTTGGGGTAATGAAGGTGGACGTGTTTGTGAGTTTGTGTGTGTGTGTGTGTGTGTGTGTAGTAAAAAACACGTAAGATCTACCCTCTTAAAATGTTAGGTGTACAGTACAGGATTATTAACACAGTATATGTCCTTTCGTGACTGGCTTATGTCATTTATGATAATGCCCTCCATGTCCGCTCCGGTTTTCACATATGGCAGGATTTCCTTTTTTTTGAAGGCTGAATAATAATCCGTTGTGATGATCAGTGATGGGCTTTAACAGTGCTGACGATTCTTCTGGTCCAGTTCCACAGCTGCTACTGATAGCTGAGACCAAAGGACCAATATCTCTCTGTTCTCCCTCTTCCCTGTCTCTCCTGCAGATGAACCCAGCCGGTGCTATTTCCACGATGGTGATGGGGTATGTGAGGAGTTTGAACAAAAAACCAGCATCAAGGACTGTGGTGTCTACACGCCCCAAGGGTTCCTTGATCAGTGGGCATCCAATGCTTCAGTTTCCCATCAAGACCAGCAATGCCCAGGCTGGGTCATCATTGGCCAGCCGGCAGCATCCCAGGTAAGACGCCAGCCATGTGTGGCATTTCCTGCCGATATTCTGAATCTCTACTCTGTCCCTCAGAGCTTCCCGCCTCGAAGGTAGTGTCATTGGATGTGGCCATGTGACCATACCTCTAGCCAAATGTAATTCCAGAGCCTCAAGAGTACCATTTCTCTGGGATTAGATGTTGAGTAGCTAAGCACAGGGAAGGAACATCAGGGTAATGACTGTCCTCCTATGTCTCTACCTGTTATAATTCACATTTAGGAAAGAATTCCATTTTGGACATACCACTGGAATTCAGTGGGGAAGAACACATTCTTTTGGGGGAGTCCCACAATTTATTGTGTGTGTGTGGGGGGGGGGTACTCCTTGAACACTCTCCTGTGAATTTGCTGTGTGGCCTTGGACCAGTCTCCCCACCTCTCTGGCCCCCATATTTCCCCATCTTTAAATTAGAGAGTAGATCAGCTTGATCTCCAAGGACCTTCCCAACTCTAAAAAGCTGTGACTCATTCCCCAGTCCCCTAATGCACTATTTACGTTCCAGGGTTCTTCCCCAAAGGACTCTCCGCTCAGTTGAGGGACTAAGAGTGTTGGGGCCACCAGAGCTTATGTGATTCTAGGGATGGCTGTGCTGTCCCCGGAGCCCCCTTTCCAATTATCCTGCTGAGCAAGCACCTGCCTTCTTCCGAGACTCCCATTTCCCAGAGACACGACTCAGTGCTTCTGACCGCCTGGCCCAGTGGCGGCCTCTGAGGCCAGCCTGCCGCCTGGCCTTGTAGATGAGTCATTATACTGTTTCCCTGATTCAGGGTCAGGGGGATAGACCTGATTTCTAGATAAAAGAGAGATGTGACCTTCTTCTGGGGCCCAGTAAAAAACCATTGGATGAGGTACAAGATGGGTACATTCACTTACCTATTTTATAGTGTTTATCTGATCATTTCTCATTTACCCATTTGCTTATGTTTACATTTATTAGATTCCCTATTTCTTCCTTTGCATTTGTTCATGACTGCCCTGAGGAGAGTGTGTGGAGAGAAATGGGAGCACAGTATTCCCTGATGCTTCTCATGGACAGTGCCCGCCGGGTGAATGAATGAATGGGTAAATGAATGAATGTCTAGGCCTCATCCTACCCCTGTGCCATCTCTGTACTTGAGGAACTTATCTTTGGCTACACCCAATTGCACAAACTCTAATAATCTGTTCGTGTGTCTGGCTCCCCCATTAGGCTGCTGGTACTTTCATAACTGTTTTGAGTTTTAGTCATCTCTGTCCCCTTCTTCAAGTACAGGATCCAGATAAGATTAGCTGCTCAGGAAATGTGTGTTTAATTGATTATAGATTCACACACATGCACACACACTCATATGTGTACACATTGCTACATACGATGAACAACACTAAGAGACAATGTTCAAGAACCACATCTGTATGACAGAGAACATCCTGCTCAGGGTTGGCAGGGCTGGCTGGCAGTAGAGCCAGGAATTCCAAATTCAGCACAGGCAACCCTTCCTAGAAATGTCTCAAAAACATCATTCAAACAAGGGAATTATTAACACACTCAGACTCACATGAGCAAGAAGTGAGGTAGCAGCTGTGCTTAAAAATCACACAAAGGTTATTGCTACTAATGTGAGAAGAGGAGAGAAAGACTTTTCCAGTCTTAGCGTTTGAAAGGGACTTCATGGGGCAATTATTCCACTTTGGTAAGGAGCGGGCTGTCAGGAATTATGGGCAATTACGTCTTCCTAAACAAAAATCCAATTTAAAAAAATCATTATCAATACTACAAAGAGGAGATGAGAAAACAAAATCATCCTATTGAATTATTCATTGCAACCAATTTTATTTTAATGAAATCGACTAGGTTCCATTACTCTGGGCTTGGACATAATCTTTGTTACAAGGAGACTTCAGCTGTAACTAAATTTGCCATAATGAGTTCAACTCACTGGAGAATACCCGGTTGGGGAGGGTGTGTATGTGCAGGCTGGGTACAGGGTCAGGCAGGGCGGTCTGGAGGGCTGTTGAACAGTCTCCTGAAGCCCCCTTCAGAAAGCAAATGCCTAAAAATCATTCACACACTGCACCCGCATCGTGCGCGCACACACACACACACGCACACACACACATAGCCTATGTAATACTGAGTAAGGGTGTTTGTGGAGTGGAAACTAGCTCCCTTCTGATAGCACAGCAGAGGGGGACGAGGTATAACCACAGCGCTCATTATCTTGTGCTGTGATTAGGGGAGGCTGGTAGCTAATTCTCACCCTGTCAGGGATTCCAGTGAAGAAGTTGATGGCTTGAGAGAAGGAGTTGGGAAGTACTTAGATGCACCTTCCCCCTACACAATTAAGCCCTTCTCTCTCTCTCTCTCTCTCTCTCTCTCTCTCTCTCTCTCTCTCTCACACACACACACACACACACACACACACACACGTACACACACACACATGTAAACATTCCTACAAAAATAGGCAGTGTAGGGGCAGGATTCCAGAGAATAGGAACCAAAGTAGACACAGGAGAGTAGTGGAGACACAGGAGAGTAGTGGAGGGGACCAGGGGTCTCCAGGTCCACCAGCCACCATACTGGACACTCATACATCTCATAGCCTATCCCCTTGCCATTCCTCAAGCTAAGAAGTATTGCCCATCTTGGAGAAACGGAGAGGCGGAGTGGCTTCCCCAAGGTCCCATAGCCCATACGTGGAGAATCTAGGATTGGAAGGATGTCATGGAAGATGATAGCAGAAGCTTAGGAATATGTATGTGATCATGTTCAGAAGTTGAAAGTAACTGGATCCCTGGCAAGTACCCCTGGGAAACAAGCAGAAAGAATCATAGGTGGACAGATCATAGAGTTGCTGTCACTGTGCAGACCCTGTGAGGTATGTGAAATCTCTGCCTGACTCATGGGCACTACCCACAGTTTTGAGTTCAGGCTGCTTCCACTCCCTGTCCTGAGGGTCCTATTCCCTGGCCCCTTGGTGCTCACTGGAACGTCTATGAACTTGGGCAGTGATGAAATGACTATGGTTGTTTCCATTTTAGCTTTATAAACCCGTTTTGTCCTACTCTGTCTTCCCCTGATGCTATAAAAATGAGAAATACAAGTGTCTATTGAAGTCATGTGCTTGGCTCTATGCTGGAGTCTGTGGAAGAAACAAAAAAAAAGGGGGAAAAGACCCAACTTCTGGCCTTGTCCGTGTACAAGACTTAGGCACGAGAATTCTCTGGGGAGGACAAGCCCTGTCCGAGTAAGTTGGCAGGGTTTCACCGTGACTGCTAGAAAGAAGAAACAGTCATTGTGCTATAGGAGTCCAGAAAATTGATTAAAACTTGATTTTTTTATTTTGTATAAGCTCTCCACTTTAACAGTTTCAGATCTCTCTCATCCATTCTCCTCATGCAAGATCCCCAAATTTGGTTAGGGCTAAGTTACTCCACCCTGAACATTTAGTTTTATATTCAAATGTTACCAGAAGTATCAAAACTTCCTGGTTGTGCAAATTGGGCTGAACATCCTATAATAAGAGACATTCTTTGGATATTTTGGCCATGCACCTTCCTGGCCCAGCTGGAATTCAAGAAGTCCCTGAAACAGAACAAACATGGAAATCAACCCAAAGAATCCAGTTTTCTCTGTTCTGGGAACCTCAGAAATGGATTGATTTAAAGGTGCTTTTTTGCAAAGATCCCATCTTGTTCTTATTTTGTCTCCATGTTTCACATTTCTCTAGTACTTTATACCAAAGGCAGCCCAAATGAGATGTAGCTATTCCTTTATCCTGCCCCCACCCCCAGCATTTCTACCAAAGCCAGTTTCCTCTTTTCCAAGCAGGCACCTCCCTCCTCCCACAATGGCCTAGGGAAAGTGTGGAAACACCAAACAGTCAGGAATGTGCAGTGTTCTCCCAGGAATCATGGACCTTCACTCAACCAACCAGTTCACTTGGTTAATCCTTTAAGGCTAAGACTTAGGCTAAGCAGATCCAGGGCAGTAGTTTCAGAGTCAGGGTAAAGAAAACCTTGAGATCGAGAACTATCCGCAATCGGATGGCCTTGTGTGGTAGAGAGGTCCCCACCAGGAGGTTTCCAACTGAGCTGGTGATGGAACAGGAGATGCCTGTGTTGGAGACCTAATCATCTCCACTTCCTTTGCAATTGGGTCTCTGACTTCCTATTTTATTGTATCAACCCCTTAGTAGGTACATCCCCTGGGTCCTTTGACAATTCGCTTTGTTTCTTGGCATGCCTATAATACTTCGTGCCTCTGTTAGAATACAAATCATGATTTGTCTTGTGTTATAGCAATTTTGTATTAATTCATTTATTTGCTTGATCAAACAGAAGTCTATTTGAACCCTGCAGTGAGACCTGTGGGCAGGTAGAGAGCATGGGCGCTAATGGGTGAAGAGGAAGCAATGCAGATGTGGCTTTGCCCTCCTCGCTTCTCTTCTTCCTTGGGAACCTGGAGTAAATGACTCCTTTGGGAACCTCAGTTTCCTCCTCCAGAAACAGGAAATGATACCCTCTACCTGTTGGAGATTAAGGGAGCAAATCAGCAAAAACACGTAGCCCTGGGTGTGTTTTTTCCACTTAGTGTGGGTAGGGCCAAGGTTAATTTCCTCTCTCAATCATGTTAGGCTCCCCTAACACCCTCGCCCAAAGGCTGGCCACAGTGACCCACCCAGTACAGCTCAGTCAACACTGGGTTGAGTTCAACACAGTTGTGTTAGCAAATGTTCACTGCAGCCTCAGGACTGTGCCAGGCATTTTGAGAGACTGCAAAGAAGTTCTGGCCTTTCTGCTGCCCTCATAGAGCTCACCGTTTCATCAGAGGGTGTGTCCATCCAAATCCCAGCCAAGACCCAGGAGTGTGAGAGTCGGAGGGAGTTACCCCGAGGAAGCCGCACTGTTATGGGCTTACTCAGTCTGCAGGGGCGAGAGCCAGCATGCAGGAAAGGAAAAGTCCTGTGCCCACTTTCAGAAGATCCTGA